GTATCATTTTTCACTCATGCCATTAGCAAATGTCCTTTTAACAAGGGAGAGAATACAATGTCTAGTTTAGGTGAATGTGTGAAGAACATTAGAATATACTAAGAGAATTTTAGGCTAGAATAGCTGACAGGCAATTTACCAGCACATATCAAAACTAACACAAAATATCTCATGTACCCCATAAATACATGTGGCTACTAAATACCCACAAAAAAAAAATAAAAATATAAAAAAAAAATACAAGATACAGGCACTGAAGCCAGAACTCCCCTCCTCCCCCTCAAATTAACATGTTAACTTTTAGTGCAATATTTACACTTTTTGAAACATGTATCACAGAAGTACTCAGGGAATTCTATCTGTGACCACATATATATACTTATTAATTTTTTTTTTTTTTGAGTCAGAGTTTCACTCTTGTTACCCAGGCTGGAGTGCCATGGCACCATCTCGGCTCACCGCAACCTCCGCCTCCTGGGTTCAGGCAATTCTCCTGCCTCAGCCTCCTGAGTAGCTGGGATTATAGGCATGCGCCACCATGCCCAGCTAATTTTTTTGTATTTTTAGTAGAGACGGCGTTTCACCATGTTGACCAGGATGGTCTCGATCTCTCGACCTTGTGATCCACCCACCTCGGCCTCCCAAAGTGCTGGGATTACAGGCGTGAGCCACTGCGCCCGGTTATACTTATTAATTTTTAAGAGAGAAAGAAAAACTGGAAACACCATAAATTCTCAGTGGTAAAAATATATTCAAGTACAACCAAAATCGTCAGTAGCATATATATATATATGGAAAGTGCTGTAAGACATATAAAGCCAGTCACAGAACCATGAATATAGGAGGGTCAGATTTGCTTTTCATGTATGCAAGAAAAAATTATTAGAAGATGAATATGCAGTCATTTATAAATGCAAGAAAATCTAGTAAAATGTTAGCCGATACTTCCAGTATGGTTACTTTTACAATGTAATTGATTTCTTCTTACGTAAGGAACTTAAATGTTTGAATCTAAAATAGTGCTGTTAATTAACAATTCTGCCAATATTTTCCTGATAAATTATATCCTCTTCATGGTTCCCAATATATTTACCAGAAAATAGAGTGATTTACATTGGTTCTTTTTTCCTTGTAACATTATTTGAAAATCAAATATGAAGAAGAAATTAAAAGATGTTATATATTATAAAAAAGGAAATGCTGCTTATAATTTAATTAAAAATAAATACACTAAATAAAGTCAACATTAAAAACTCATATGTGTAATAGAGAAGAAGGATGTAATATAAGTTCTTGAAGGATGCAGTGAACATTCAACTGTGATACACTCATCGCCAAGTCAGTATGTTTTTTTTCAAAATGATTGTTAAGATATTAGACTTTGGAGATTGACTGATATACTCCTTTCTTAATAGCATGTCCTTACAAGTTATTTACTACCCTCATGACTCAAGTTCTTTACCTGTAAAATAAGGTTAAAAGTAGTCCTTTTCTAATGAATTTGTTCTGAAGAGTAAATGAAATGACATGTATAACACCATCTTGCACATAACAAGCTGTCAATACATATAATCTACTATTATTATGTATTATGGTCACTTAAGATGATTTTGGAGATGTGCTTATTGCTCAGAAGAAACAAACTGGGGCATAAACTTAAGGTTATAAAATTGGAAGAAAATAAAAATGTGCCTCGCCATTTATTATCTAACTTTGCCAGTGAGACTGAATAGAAAGCTGGGGCATTAATAATTGTCTGATTACTGGTTGATTACTGTTCATCAGTGAAATTTACAAGGCCAGCAAGAAATATTGTGGTTCTTAACAATGGGCCATTCCAATTTCCTTTTAATGAGAAGAATGTGAAGAGTCCTAGAGACCTACATTTAGCAAATGAGAAAAAAAGCAAAGAATTGTAATAGAAGTCTATTCCAGGTGAGAAGCATTTATTAATCATCACTAAGGCCATTAAGAGACCTAGTTCCTTTCTATTTCTGCAGAATAACTATAAATCATCATATTTCACAGCAGTAGAAATTATATATGTATGTATTTTCAATTAATTACCTATTATGGCTTCAATGCTTTACATAAATTACTCCATTTAACGCATAAAAATGTGGGTAAGTTCAATGTTACATTTTATAGATTCTCAACTAAAGCTGAGAGAGTTTGAGCCATTTTCCTACAATTTTGCAATTGAACTTGTCAACCCCTCTTTCACTAAAACACAGTTCTTCCTGACATCCTTCTCAGTGAAGGGCTGCGTCCAAAAATTGCCTAAGCCAGAAACATGGCATCGTTACTAAATAGCTCCTTCCCATCCTTAGTCCACAACATGCAGGCAAAAGAATTAAATGCAAACACACATGCATGCACACACACGCGCACACACACACACACATACACACAGATACAGTATACTATTAATTCCATTTTGTATGTTTTGCTGAAATCCATCCAAGTTTCCCTGTTCACCCTGCTTCTGCTCTAGTTAGGCCATTATAATCTTTTGTCTGTATTATTCCAATGGTGTCTTTCTTAGCAGTCACCTGTTTACTTGTTTTTTTCCTCCTCCAATTCACTTCTTTTTTCAGCCAGGAAATTTTTTCAAAACATAAATCTGACCTTGTCATTTACTGCTTAAAACCTCTCATTTACTTTCATTTGTCCTCAAAATAATGCCCAAACTCCTAATCATCACTTAACAGGCTTACATACTTTTGCTCACACTATCCACATACTCATTTCAGCAGCAAATCTCCAACTCCTCAGAATTCCAAATCTTTCATTCATAAAGTAAAATGTAAATTTAAAAAACACAATGAAATACAATGAGTTAATATACAAAAATAGAGGAAAGCATGAAGTAATAAATATTGAGAGTACAGAGAAGTACATAAGAACATTCCAGGCAATTACTTGCCAAAAAGCAGGTCACTTCTATTCTTGGACGTACTTTTAAAAGTTGTGCCCCTTGAGACGCAAAGATGCAAGAAGATCCCAGAAAGAAGCAGTTAACAGCAGCATTTAGGTTACATTTTACTTTATGAATGAAAGTAAGCTTTGTATATGGTAATATAATTAATTCAACCCCGTGGACATGTTAATCATTGCCCAGATGATAGCAAGTCTTTCTCAGAAGCAGAGTGCCTTGGTGTGTCAGTAATTTTTTTTTCCCCCCATTCGTAAGATACTTTTTTCCTCATTTGATTCAGGAGCCCACAGCTTTTGGACAAGTCTTAAATGACATTTTAAGCATTATCTGGACTAGACCTTCTGTAGTATCCTTTTTGTTAGACCAAGTATATCTCATTCTCGATCAAGATCTGAGATTGACTGTAGTTCACCTCTTTCCAAGTACACAAACTTGGATGACATAACAACTGGAAGTGTAATGGAGAGGGAGATCTTTACACTGCCATTTTGAGCCATCGTGATACCATCTTGCAAAACGTGGTACAGTCATTTTCTTGTTATTCCCAGTATTCTTTGGGGTTGGAATAAAAATCTAAGTGTAAAAAAAAAAAAAAAAAAAAAAAAAAAAAAAAGAATTCCAAATCTTTTGACATTTATTCACTTTTTGAAAATTCAACATTTATTTCCATTAGTATTTGTATGAGTTTGTTTCACGCTGCTGATAAAGGTATACCCAAGACTGGGTCATTTATAAAGAAAAAGAGGTTTAATGGATTCACAGGTTCTACGTGGCTGGGGAGGCCTCACAATCATCAAAGAAGATGAAAGGCATGTCTCACATACAGCAGGAAAGAGAGAATGAGAGCTCAGCGAAAGGGAAAACCCTTTATAAAATCATCAGATCTCATGAGACTTATTCACCACCATGGTAACAGTATGGGGGAAACCACCCCCTGGATTCAATTATCTCCCACCAGTACGCCCACAACACATGGAAACAATGGGCGCTACAATTCAAGATGAGATTAGGGTCAAGCTATATCAGTATCTACACGTTTTCCTTTTTTGTGTGACTAACTTCTATTTCTCTTTCAAAGCATCTCTTATATATTTTATATTTATTTTCCAGGAAGTCTTTCCTGGATTAGCAGCTCTCCTGTGTGCTCCAATTAATCATTTTAATTAACCTTCCCCTATCAGTTACAGTTTTAGGCTGCACTGGCAACTGTCGATTTCCTCATCCTGCTTCCCAACCACCCACCTCCCACTTGCCAAACACACATATACACAAAGGTGCACACACACACTACTTGCTTATTCTTTTTATTTTTTTTAATAAAAAGGACTATAGAGTTGTAACTTAATAATGTCTTTCTCAACTTCTTGAGATTATCACATGAGAAAAATAGGGGGAAAATGATGTGTATATGTGTGATATAATGAAGTATTTCTTTCATGGTGCTTATTAACAAGTTTGTTCAAAATTCACTGTAAATCCTGTATTTTTGCACTGATTATTATAGAGATTTTACTTCTACCAATACCTCTTTAACAGCAACATAAATTTTTAGCCAAGTTTGGAAGGTGTTGCCTTTTCAGTGGGCTGCCTTCTCTATAAACTAGGGAAGAAGCAAGCCTCCCACTTATGTTCTGGTTCTACCCCAAAGTTTGTTCCCCCAATGTCAGACCCTGTCTATGTCTCTTAGATATATTCTTCCAAAATATAATTCCTGCTGTAAAATTTTAAGGACCTGAGGGGAAAAGTGTGGTATCAAGAAAACTATTTCAAAGAGGTACCTGATAACTATATTATACATACAAAAGAGGTACAATATTGTCCTGGAACCTCTCTGGAGCATAGATAGTCCTCACTGGAAAATGAAACTTTTGTCATAAAACTGTTTGGGTTTTCAATTTTCCCCTTTTACATGAAATCATGACAACAAAGCCATCTTACTAAATGAGGTTTTAATTTCTCTAGCTTTCACTAAACACTCACTAAAACTGTGAGTGTTACTGATTATGACTGATGCCAAGTGGAGCCATTTGGAGGGCTCTCATGCCTGTTCTTTCTGTGTTAGACAGGACTATGAAGAGCTAGAAAAGCAGCTAAAAGAAGTCTTTAAGGAACGAAGCACCATTCTTCGTCAGCTGACAAAGACATCAAGAGAACTTGATGGAATTAAAGTCAATCTTCAGGTGGGATAAAAACTCATTTTCCTAGCAGTAAAGGATGAGCAGTCATCGGATTTATCTGAGTGGATTAACATGCATTTTAAAACAGTTTTTAATATGTTTCTGGGCTTGACCATGGTAGTTATTACTTACTATTATATGCACTTTAAATGGAAATATCATTTGAAATATTGTCTAGGAATCTGTGGTTTACAAATACAGAAATAAGAAATTTTTTCATTTGACAGAACCATCAATTCCTCAAGCTTCTACAAGCAGTTTGACCCCTGTGTTCTTCATATTATAAAATAACAAAGTAATTATGATCAAAAGTTAAATGAATACAGGAATGATACCTAGAAGAGAATTTTAAGTTCCCCACAAGATAACTCTAAAGATTCTTTAATAAGCCACATTGCTAACATAGGTAAATGCCTTAAAAAAGCAAGTGGCATCTGCAAAAATGTCTTAACATACTGAAGTCTTAAAAATATCTATATAGGATAAAAATAGTTTTATAAACACTTGATAATAAATTGCAATATTTGAATAAACATTGCATTTATTATCTTCTGTATGCTGAAAGCTTTGATGTTTTATATGGTTTAATTCTTGTATCTATGAGGTAGATCCTATTGTGATATCTCTTGTTACACATGAGAGAGAATGTTTAGAAAAGGTATGTTATTTTTGTATGTTACAAGAGAAGCCAGAGTTTACATGTAGATAATCTGGCTCCAGAGACTATTAGTCACTGATCTGAACCATGTTTTTAAACCATATGGAGTTACTTCTGTCCACACTCTTCTCCTTAGCTTCCTAGTCACATTAAGATGATAATAATGATAATGACGATGGTAGTGGTGGTGGTATTAGTAACCACTGAGACTTATTGAACATCGTCAGGGTCAAGTGCTAGATACTCTTCTACAATTTTTATTTAATTTTCACATGAAGACTATTAGTCATATTTTATAGGTGAAAAAACAGAGTTAGAGAAAGGTTAAGAAACTAAGAGCATGCCGATAATGCCGATAGTTAAGGGACAGAACTAGTATTTAAAGTCAACATCTAAGCTCTTGTTCCAGAAGATGTGTTACATGTGGAGAAGATGGAAACAAGAAAAACAACAAAAAAAAATCATACACAACCCAGTAGGACACAGAGATGGTAGCAGAATTATAACAGTGGAGGAATCATAGTTATGATAGAAGTATGTGCAGAGCATTAGGGAAACACAAGGGTTAAAAGAAGTGTAGATTGTAGATTGATTTCTGGTGAAGCCAACGCCTGAGCTTGTGGTTAAGTGGAAATTCACCAAGTGAATAAGACTGAGAAGAATACCAAGAAAACTGCCCTTTCTCAGAAGCATGGAACGCTCGACACATCGAGAACATTGAAAGCGTGTTGTGAAAGGCCCAGAAGTGGTATTTACAATATTCGCAGAATACTCAGTTTTTCTATAAGAGCAGCCAAAGTCAAGATATCTCATTACAGTCTAGAAAGTTGCTTAATACAAATATACAGCTTATGGAGTTACATTACAGTTCTTAAAATGCCTTTTGCTTAGTTGTTTTTTTTGGCAGCCATTGTGCAAGGCTGATTTTGTGACTTGTGCCAGGTCACAAGACCATGATACACTTTGATCTGTAAATCCTATGAATGATGATTTTTTTCAATTTTAATTCTTCTTTTTGCTTTCCTTGTATGTATGTGAAACCGCTATTTCACGTAAATGAACACTGTTTATTGGTTGCTTCCCAATGATAACCTCAGCCAGTTATAGTAGAGAAGAGGTTTGTCTTATGAAGTTCATCCCACTACATCCCTATTATAATACTTATCATACTATATTAAAATTGTTGGTTTTCAATGTTAGATTAAAAAATGTGTGAAGATAAGCACCCTTTTTTTGCATAGGTCTTTGCATGATGCAAAATAGATATTTGTTAAATAAATGTTAAGTCAACAAAGTGTTTGCCCTTTTTGCTATTGCCAATTCTCTACCAGTCACAATTATTCTTTTGCAAACAATATTATTGCCTCTTAGTTTCAACTGTTAATGCCAAGAATGACAGGTTGCCCTATTAATTAGTTTATTGAATATGAACAAGAAAGTTATTATAGAAGGTTTAATGGAATAGATTCTCTTACAAGAAAAAGCTCAGAGACCTTTTCTTCTATAATTTATAGTCTCTGAATTCTGAATTTGTCAGAGTTTATAAACACTAACGACTGAAGTAGTATACATAATGTTTGTTAATATTCTGTCCATAGACACCAGCTACAATTTTACATGACCCTGATTTTTATATGTCTTAATGCATTACTCATATATAAGAAATAAACAAAACATAATAGGTGCATGCCCTTTGACTGTTTTAATCTTGAATTGTGTTTTTTCCTGGCATATGCAGGGAGATTTGCTATGTTCCCTAGTATTTATTTGTAGAGGCTGTGCCAGACCTGGTTTAACATGCCTACAGAGAACACAGTAAAACTTCAAAAAATGGATAGAAGATATGTTTTATATTCACTTATAAAAAGGCCTAGATATTTGGAGGGTAGTTTCTTCTCCATTGAACCTCTAAAAGCCAAGACTGCTCAATTCCTTTCACCACTGTGTCATTGGTATTATAAATTTCTGTATATATCATTAAAGTCATGAGGACCATCATGGACTCATTATTAATTCTTGTTCCAGGGCATACGTGCAGTCCTATCTAGTACTCTAGAACCAAAGTTAAAGTGAGCCTCAATTTCTCACCTGAATAAACTTCCTTTTTCTACTTTTCTTATCAGTCCTTAAAAAATGATGAGCAGTCTGCAAAAACTGATGTTCAGAAACTTCTGGAATTAGGACAGAAACAAAGGTAAGGCTGTTTTTTTCTCTTTATTTTTCTTAGTTCTTTTTGCCATAGTGTCAAGCAACATTCAGAAACTTCACAGAAGTTGTTGATTCTAAGTTCAAAACTCTATTTATCTTTTCACTTATACTTAAATGTACATGTGATTCACTCAGGAATCTTGTTCAAATACAGATTCTTATACAGTAGAACTGGGGTGCACTTGAGATTCTGCATTTCTAACAAGTTCCTTGGTGATGGTGATGGTGATTTTTTTTTTTTGTCTGCAAATCACAATTTGAATGTTAGGGAGCTATTATACTTTTCTTAGTTAGTAAGATGGACACTTGTAAGTCCACCAGTCAATTGACCGATTTGATATTATTGACCTAAATGGACCATGTTTAATAAAATAAAAAATTGATTGTGATAATAATAATGAGGTGGTAAGGGATGGAATAATCTTATTAACACTACAAGTAGAATCAGCACAATATTATTAGTATTGGTTTGTTTATTTTTGAAGGAAGTATATTATGAAATATATTTTCATAAATTATTAAAAAGCCATATGATTTTTAAATTGCTTTTACAAGCCACAAAAATGGAAAAGGAAAACAAGTATTTTAATATAGAAACAAGCTCACATCTGCTATGCACTGACTAGGAGCTCTTCTAGTTGATTTGTATACATTTTCTTGTTTGATCTTCACAACTACCATTTGAAGTAGATATTATACCCATTTTATAGATGGCAAATTGTTGCTCAAAGTGCTTAGTGGAATTGCTGAAAATCATGTTAATTGGAGTTTAGATTTAAAATCTGCTGTGTCTTACTCCATCGCCCCACTTTTCCACTTTGGCTCACTGATTACAAGGCAAAAAGCTATTTAAAAGTTTACACACAAGATAGCATGTAGAGTAGACCCTAAGTCCCTTCTCATCAGCCTATATATCCTCCACTGACCTTGGTTCTTAATTCAGAACTCTATTATTGACATGCATTTGGATTGAGCTGATGACATCTATTAAAAAATATAAAATCAGGTGTCTTACACTGACTCATTATTATTTATAGTGACATGTTTATTATTTATTGAATATAAAATTATCTTCAAAGTGTAATATTAAGAAAAACTTGAAAAAGCAATCCAAACATGGTTCCAAAACCATATTATTTAAATGATTGTATTGGTTTGAAATAAAGCATCTCTTAAAATACCCATGCTCAATATTACACAAGTATTTGTGACTCTGTGAAGCAGTGATAGAGGACATAAGCAACAATTTCAATAGAAAGAATAGAACATTTTTCAGCTGGAAAATGGAAAATCTTGTCATTTGTAACAACATGGATGAAGCTGGAGGACATTATGTATGGTAAATAAGCTAGGCACAGAAAGACAAATACCCTATAATCTCACTCCTATTTGAAGCTTTAAAAAGTTGATGTCAAAGAAGTAGAGACTAGAGTGGTGGTTACCAGGGTCAGAGGTGGTTGGGGAGAGTGCTGGTGGTGAGATGTTGGCTAAAGAATACTAAATTTCAGTTGGATAAGAGAAATGAGTTTGAGAGATCTGTTGTACAAAGTGATGACTATACTTAATATACTATATTTTTGAAAAAATAAAATTAAAAAAATAACTTATTAAAAGAGACCTAGAGATGCTGAAAATGATTATTTTTATAGAGTTTTTCAGGTTAGGAATGGAGAATAAACAAAAATATAAAAACAAAAATTGATTTCTGCACAATACATTTGTAGCATCCAGTGAGAGACTGAGGAAGCCATAATGAGTTTGAGAAGATTTGAAAAAAAAAAATCTGTATGTAAAGATAAAAATAAAGATGGCTAAAGAGTAGCCCAGTCTGGGCTTCAGTGATAATAGAGAACCCCTTTTAGGTAGTTCCATAAAAAATAATATAATTAAATAAATCTTTTAGGGAAATTATTATTTCCTGGCTTTTAGGGAAATTATTATGTCAAACCCATTCAGGGCAGAAATAAAAATGTAGACCAGGGTGAGAAAACCCTACTTAGAGTCAAGGACAGGGAGATCTCAAGAGTGAGGACCATGGAGTAAGAGAACAATGAAGTCAGCCTTTCTTTGCCATAGGAGGGACACAGATGAGGAGACAGGCTTATGCATGATCTGAATGAAAAATCTATTCCCTTAGTTTGCTGATATTTTCTTAAAATATCTATGGCTGATTCACATGACACACAAAACACCACAAAAATCAGGAAAAATGTGAGTAGATGTTTAAGAATTTTAATCATCAAGTATACATGTGGTAAAGTATATAAACTACCAGATGATAGAACAAGACTTTCCAGAGAGGATGAAATGGAGAATATTTTGATCTTACTAATTCACAGTTTTATCTAAAATTAGAAACTTGTTTAAAATGCATAACCTGTATTATATACATAATCAAAATTAGAATGGGAGACTCAATAAATTATAATAATAGGTAACTTCTCAAAAGGATCAAAGATTTGATGCATTAGTTTTTTGCTGTTTACTTAAAAAGAGAAATATAAAAATTATGTTTATATTATGGTAAAAGAGGCTGTGTATCTCATTTTAAAAATTCACTTATTAGTAAACATTAAAAGAGAAAAAATATCACATTTGGTTATCAAAAATAATAACTTATTGCAAATTTACGCATCTTCTCTGAGTTTGAAAGAGAGCAGTATGCTTGCAGGTGCCATTTGGCCACACGCCCAGCTCTCAATTATTACCTTGTTTTCTGGATCCTTTGTCCTAAGATCCTTAATATCTGGCTTCATCTGGACTAGTAATCCCAGAAGCTGTGCTTCTTTTATGTGACTCTGAAACCACTGGTCATAGCTAGTGATTCAGAGGTGGCCACCAAAACAAAAATGAATCAATTAGTGGTTCCCTCTGGAATTGTAACGTAGAGGCAGCTAATCAGCCTTTCTGTGTAGCTGGAACTAGACTATAAGTAAATTCAGGGGATATGCAGTGGCCACATACAACTATGTGGTGAGAAAGCAGAGAGAAAGGGGTGTGTGTGTGTGTGTGTGTGTGCACTTATATGAGAACAAGAGTGAGAAAATGAGAGTTGTGTTGGCTTGAGCATCATGCTTCAGGAATATTTACACAGCCTAGATTATGTTCATAGGAGAGTTCCCAGTGGATGGAGAGATTTTAAACCGTACCATGTCAGGACTGAGAATATATAACCACAAGAAGAATAGAGAATAGGACAGGACCCTGGAATGTCTGAAAAGCTGAAAATGTCCTTGAGCAAAAGAGAATAAAACCTCTTATTTTTTACTGTGGTTGGTTGATAGAGAGTCCCGGAAGGCAGTTTTGGACTCAGTGTACTAAAGCACTTTACAACAATGTTCTCTGAAAACTGAAGGGAAAAAAAAGCCTAAAATAGTGGCAAGTTCTCCATCTATGATGTTATTAAAATATAAGCTGATAGTCACTAGAAAGAAATGCCTTTCTGTAGAGTGGTTAGGGTGAAGGTGTTTTTATAGCTATAATCTGAGATGAAAGAGGTGTGAAATGATGGCCCTTTAAAATTCCTTGTAACACAAAATGTTATGCTAAAATATTTCAGTATTTGAGCTATCACAGGTATCACTCAAGCCATTAATTTTTTAGAATTAAAGTTTCAGTTTAGTACCAGGCATAGTCCTGCAGTAGTAGATATAGTGTGGCAATCTCAGTTGATTTGGGAAGGGGTGCAGAGGCAGGTCAGGAATCATCTCCACAGGAGGATAACTTAGCAAGTCTGTGAAGCAGAAATCTAAAACACTAGGGCAGTGAGCATGTGAAGACATAAGCTTAGCAGGAAGGCAGAAGAGATGAAGAGATATAGAAGACAAAAAATCTACTTTACCTTTCTGCCTGATAGTGTTCTTTGGCATGAAAATGTTCAGAATTCTCTACCTTTTCCAGCTTTGACAATTTGTTTTTAGTTCCCTAGATTGCCTATAGATGTCAGTATGGGGGACTTTTTTGGAAAAAATAGATAGATACCCATTCCCATACATTTATTATATCTATATGTATATATATCTATATCAATATATAAAAATTATATGCTCCTTGTTATTTTAATAAAATTTACTTTATTATTTAATTTTTGTTAAGTGTTTTATGAATATCCTTTAAAAATAAAAATGAGAATTTTAAATCAAAAAGTTTAAAAATTATTTTGTCATTTTTATTATAACTTTATTTTCAGTAGGAAATATAATTTTACTGTTTTCCACTCAGTGCTTGTTGAAGATCTGAGTGTTTGGTATAGCATGTAGTTTACTCCTTCTCTCCTTCCTTCCTTCCTTCCTTCCTTCTTTCCTTCCTTCCTTCCTTCCTTCTTTCCTTCCTTCCTTCCTTCCTTCTTTCTTTTCTTCTTTTCCTACCTCCCCCCTCCCTCCTTCTCTCCCCGTAGAGATAGATAGTATAGTAAGTCTTTAAAGTCTGAGCACACAGACACTAAAACACCATTTCACTACCCCTCTATGCATTAGTTATCTGTCATAATACGATGCCATAGTTTGCTGTGGGGCTTATAAAAGTGTCTTGCACTTTGTAAGCCTACAATACATGTAGATATATATTATATTGTATTGTATTATGTTATATTACAAACAATCTATGGAAAATGTCAGAAGTAATAACGGAAGCCCAGATTTTATATGTTCATTATATGAAGCAAATCTGATGAATAAAACTAGTTTGAGACAATGATGGAAGCTGTGACTTAGAATCCACTTCAAGCACATTAAAAGGATCACCCAAGTGACTGTAATTATTCTATAACTTGTTATTACTATATTTTGATTTGTCAACCAAAGTCGAAAATGATTCCAAAAAACAGACAGACTTTCTTTCCCATTCTTGGAATTGGGACTAGGACATCAGTCTCAAGAGTAATTAATCTGGGGGCACCATTAACTCTTGCTGGGTGGAAGAGCAGCTCGTGGTTGTATAGAAAACATGGTGGTCAGAGGACAAACATCAGGGCGTGGAGTGGTGCCAGTGGTTATTGCCATGACCTAACATTTGTTAAGTAATTATTTTACCAGCATTGTGGTAAGCATTTTGCTTACATTATGTCATCTTAATATGAGCCCAAGCCTATAGGCTAGTTCTACCCTTGTGCCTGTTTTTTGGATGAAGAAATTGAGTATGAGAGGGTATGTCAGTTGTCAAATATCCAGAGCTAGTCTTTTAGCACTAGATTGAAGTTTTAAATTAGTTTAGGTGCTGGTAAGACTCAAACAGGTTTCTATTTTGTTGTTGCTCTTGCTTTGAGAGAATTTCTATAACCAGGAATTACCACACACACAAACACAAATACACTACCCTTTATCTAATATCTGATGTGTTTGAGGTGATAGCTTGAGTAAAAAAATACAATCAAGACACAGAAAGATAATATGATGTGTTACAAATGAATAAGTCCTAAATCCTTAAGAGAAAAACAAATGTAGGGAAATATCACTATTTTTAACAAGGGAGACAGGATCCTTATGCACTACTGAGCTTGAGATACAATGCATATATATGCATAGGCATGCATTTCCTTTATTAGCTCCATTAGATGAGACAGGCCTCAAGTTAGATATGTTTCTTTTCCCTGTTTTTATAAAAGGGCTCAGGCCTTACAAAAGATGTATAAAGCACAATACTTTACAATTAATTAATTAGGAGCATCAGAAGGGAGCAGTAATTTTATCCTATCAGCAAGTCTATGGTGACTTTTTCTAACCAGCAAGTTCATACCCCAGTATGCTATTGGTGAAATTATCTTTTCAACTTGAATTATATATTGCTTTGATTTAACACATCATGTAGTTCACAGATGATTCACACAGTGGTATTTTTGTAAAACATAATAGCAAGGTAATTAAAAAAACATTCAACTTGCATTTAGTATTTGCATGGGAGAGAAAGCTTTTTATTACCGGAATCTTTAAACATATCTTGTTTGCTTAACTGTGGCTTTATGCAATTCTAGTTGTCTGTGTCCTAAATGTAGACAGCAAAGCCTCCTTTTATAATGTACATAAAAAATAATGGAAGTATATTGTTTTCTTTCTTATGCTCTGTTTTCTACTTAACTAGAGAAGAAATGAAGTCTCTTCAGGAGGCCCTGCAAAATCAACTTAAAGAGACATCAGAGAAAGCAGAAAAACACCAGGCAACTGTAAGTGTGTTTCTTCTTTGTGCCCTTTGCTTTAGGGCTGGGATATTGTTAATTTATTTTTCAAAAATCACTATGGAACAAACACAAATGTTAAAAAAAAAAAAAAAAGTGAAAATACAAAAAAAAAAAAAAAAGCATCAGTCAATGTGATCAGAATAGTACTTGGTCAGCATTCATTCCTGGAAAAGGTTAATGTTTTATTTGATTATTGGGGAGGTCATCTACTTCCTAGTCTACTTTTAAGAATGAGAAACTAACGGACAGAGTGGGGCAAGGATTCTGGTGTCAGGACCTTGTCAGTGGCTCTCAGATCGTGGGATGTCACTGACCGTTAAGTAAATTAAGCTAAGTGATGGCTAAGTCATGCCCCACATCTGCTGAATGAGAATCTCTCAGGAGCAGGGCCATGCTATCTGCCTATTTAATCTATCTCATAGGTTATTCTAATGCACCCTGAAGTTTAAGAATCAAACTCTTCTCCTGACAGCTAGAACTGTGAGAAAAAAACTAGGAAATAAACTTTCTCACCTGAAATGATGTTTCCTTGACCCCACCATTTCAGCTCTTACTACGAATATTTACCACAGGCAGGAGGGGTGCTGTTCCTGAGAGCCATGCTGAAAACTACATTTCTACTGGATTCCCCAAAGCCACCTTACACACCATATATAGAGATTAGATCTTATATCTTGTTTTCAGGATCTGAGTCTGTTTTAAAATATAGCGTATTAATAGAACATATGAGGTATAGCAAGGCCAACAGATCAGGAAAAGACTGCCACTGAAAATATAGCTTATTTCTCACAGTTCTAGCTGTACACCATAGAGGGTTCACATGGGGAGACACCCGGGCTGTTCATGAGGCAGAGGGAGGGGAAGAAACTGTGGGTAAGAGGCTTTACTGTGGTTTCTGAGGCAATGAACAAGTGAGGCAGGATAAGTGGGCTTGGGATTGGACAGTTTAAGTGATTTTTGGTTGGCTCTGGGGCACAGCAGCTGTCCTGACTTGTTACCTATCCCTAAAGTGATTAGGGCAAATCCATAGTAGCCCGGGGCAATTTAAAAGGGGGACATTTGGGAGTGTTGTTTTTCAAATGTTGGTTGTATTTGAAAGGTGTGCCTCTGGGAGGAGGACTTCTCCTCTCTGAGGTGTTGAAGCAGCAGTAAGAGAGTCCGGAGCTAAGGCAGGGCGATCAAGCATATGCTTGGGTTGTTTAGAACAAGGCTGATCCAGCACATGCATGAAGAACAAATGTTAGTGCATCAAGTTTAAAGAAGTTAAAACCATGGTGAAGCCTGAATCTCCATTTAGGTCAATTACCTGGAATCCTAAGCTCTCTAAACACAGTCAGCCTGCCTTTTACCAGGCTTCATTTAACAACCTTGATTAAAATGTGGAGTTTTCATCTGAAACTCAGTCCAGTCTGTCATCTGCAATGCCTGATTTCAGGGAACAGCCTTTCTAATAATGACTGTTGACTTTTCGAAGTACAGAATTATTTCATGTTAAGGATTCACTGTTATCTGTTCTGTTCACCTGTTTGCATGGGCATGTTGGTTCATTGCTATGCTGTGGCAACTCTCACTGCTCACTTGAAATGTGGCCTAAAGTCTGGCTCACTGGATACCAAATGTTACATAAAAGAATAGACATATTTTTAGCACCAGCTTGTTGATCCATCCTCCCAACATCTGACCTAGCTTAGTGAATGGTCCTAATTGCAATCACATTTCTGCCGTGGCTAATCATATTTAATCTGGGTTTCTTCATAGTCTAATGACAAATGATGGCAGAGCAGAATAGAAGTGTTCACACAGACTACTTTCTCTTGCCTTCATAATAAAACTGTATTGTTGGTTCCTTAAAAAGTAACTCGAGGTGTTTCTAGCTTGCATTTACACAGCTAAAAGGCAGAAGAGCTAAGGCATGAACTCAAAAATTATTCCAGGAAATTATGCAAACTGAGAGATAAAAGGAAGAGAGTTATAACTTTAGAAAGATCACCACCAAAGTCAGAGTATCCAAGCATGAAAAATGTCATGGACAGAGAATGTAGACTGAGTCACCTTTGCTCTCATCTCAGCATGCCTGCGGTGCCTTCCTTATGACTGAACACTGAATCCTGAGGGAAGGTTTCTCTTTCCCCACAAATACTTCACTAAACCAGAAACTTCCTAAAGAGACATAACTTAACATGTGTTTCAGCGTAAGAATTTCAGGGTTTAAATTTCTAGGAGGCCATTTACTAGATCTATAAATTCACTAGCTCATTACCAGACTTGATCAAGCTTTTTAACTTCTGTAAGTTTCCTTATTATCACATTTAAGGGGTGATTCACATTAGATTAATGTACATAATTTCTCTAAAATTGTAATCTGGCATGTAGTAGATAGTAGACATTAAACTAATGTCATTCCCTTTCCTTCTGTGCTTCCCATTTTAATTTCATCTTCATCACTTCTCAACTGAATGATTATAAGAAGTCATTGATTTCTCTGAGACTTTTTCATTGTAAGAAGTATGCCAATGGTACTTATATAGCAGGTTATTTGGTGATTATATGAGATGATGTATGCATGGTTGAGCAGAAGACATAATCAATTATAAGCAACTTCTAAATTGTATGCTATCATCATCATCATTTTAGTATTTTTTCTTTCTAACTATTTAAAACCTTTGTTATATGGTAATATCACAGTGAAAATTATCAGGGATGACATAAGAATGCATACCTAATAAAAGGAATATTAAAATAATATGTCCTATTGTTCATAGTTTAGGATGTTCTGTTTCTTCAATTCTATTTACATTACTATTCAAAATCATTTTGTATTGCAACATCTGGATACTGCCACATGGATTTTCAATGACTATTCTTAAAAACTGACATTGAAATGTTTGAGAGTGACCTCAAGTTGCCAGAGACCTACAAATGGTTTCTTTATAGGAATCAGACATATTACCTATCAGTGATCAGGGGCAACACGGCATCATTTTTACTGTTATTAAAAACTACTAGATGGTGAGGTTTTTCACCAATGGCTTGCATTTTCTTAATTGTAGACTATTTCTTTTTTATTCATTGTTCTTGTTAATTTCTTTTTTTTTTTCCATAGTTTATTGGGGCACAGGTGGTATTCCATTATATGAACAAATTCTTTAGTAGTGATTTGCAAGATTTTGGTGCACTCATCACTGCACCCTGTTTGTAGTCTTTTATCCCTCACCTCCCTACCACCCTTCCTCCCAAGTCCCCAAAGTCCACCCTATCATTCTTATGCCTTTGTATCCTCATAGCTTAGCTCCCATGTATCAGTGAGAACATACAATATTTGGTTTTCAGTTTCTGAGTTACTTCACTTAGAATAATAGTCTCCAATCTCATCCAGGTCGCTTCAAATGGTGTTAATTCCTTCCTTTTTATGGCTGAGTAGTATTCCATTGTGTATGTGTATACACATATATATATGTGTATATATATACACCACAGTATTTACATACACAGTAGTATTCCACTGTGTATGTATATATATATATATATATATACATACACACATATATACTACAGTTTTCTTATCCACTTGTTGATTGATGGGCATTTGGGTTGGTTCCACCATTTTGCAGTAGTGAATTGTGTGCTATAAACATGCATGCACAAGTATCTTTTTCATATAATGACTTATTTTCCTGAGTAGATACCCAGTAGTGGGATTGATGGATCAAATGGTGGATCTACTTTTAGTTAGTTATTTAAGGAATCACCACACTGTTTTCCACGGTGGCTGTACTAGCTTACACCAGCAGCATAGAAGTCTTCCCTGATCACTGCATCTATGCCAACATCTACTGTTTATTGACTTTTTAATTATGGCCGTTCTTGCAGGAGTAGGTGGTATGGCATCATGATTTTGATTTACATTTCCCTGATCATTTGAGCATTTTTTCATATGTTTGTTGGCCATTTTTATATCTTCTTTGAGAATTGTCTATTCATGTTCTTAGCCTACTTTTTAATGGAATTTTTTTCTAATTTGAGTTCATTGTAGATTCTGGATATTAGTCCTTTGTCAGATGTATAGATTGTGAAGATTTTCTTCCAATCTGTAAGTTGTCTGTTTACTCTGCCAACTGTTCCTTTTGTCATACAAATGCTCTTTAGTTTAATTAAGTCCCAACTATTTATCTGTTTTTTGTTTTTTGTTTTTTGGTTTTTTTTTTTTTTGAGATGGAGTTTCGCTCTTGTTACCCAGGCTGGAGTGCAATGGGGCGATCTTGGCTCACCGCAACCTCTGCTTCCTGGGTTCAAGCAATTCTCCTGCCTCAGCCTCCTGAGTAGCTGGGATTACAGGCATGCGCCACCATGTCCAGCTCATTTTTTGTATTTTTAGTAGAGACAGGGTTTCACCATGTTGACCAGGATGGTCTCGATCTCTTGACCTCGTGATCCACCCGCCTTGGCCTCCCAAAGTGCTGGGATTACAGGCTTGAGCCACCGCGCCCGGCCCTATCTCTGTTTTTATTGCATTTGCTTTTGGGTTCTTTGTCATGAGATCCTTGCCTAAGCAAATGTCAAGAATGGTTTTTACAATGTTATCCTCTAGAATTTTTATAGTTTCATGTATTAAGTTCTTAATCCATCTTGAGTAGATTTTTGTATAAGGTGAGAGACAAATGTGGTTTTATTCTCATATATATGGCTAACCAATTATCCCAGCACCATTTGTTGAAAAGGATGTCCTTTCCCCACCTTATATTTTTGTTTGCTTTGTCAACGATCAGTTGGCTGTAAGTATTTGGGTTTATTTCTGGGTTCTCTATTATGTTTCATTGGCCTATGTGCCTACTTTTATACCGATACCATCTGTTTTGGTGACTGTGGCCTTATAGTTTGAAATCAGGTTGTATGATGCCTCCAGATTTGTTCTTTTTGCTTAGTCTTGCTTTGGCTATACAGGCTCTTTTTTGGTTCCCTATGAATTTTAGAATTGCTTTTCCTAA